ACAAGCCATTTTTTACACCTTTAAGCATTTAAAAAGCTTTTTTTTTTTAAACAGAGGTTTAAAAAAAAAAAAAAAAAAAAAAAAAAAAAAAAACTTTTTTGGTTATTGGACAATTTGAACCTGTCAGCTACAATCATGTCTATCAATCTCTAGCTGTAAACAGAGTAGACTCTTAGAGTCTTCAGCACAGGGATGGGCAACTCTGGGCCATGAGCGCTGGTCTCCTGCAACTTTTAGATGCATTTCAACTTCAACACACCTGAGTCAAATAATGAGGTCGTTAGCAGGACTCTGGAGAACTTGACTGCACTTAGGAAGTGATTGAGCTATTGGATTCAGGTGTGTTGGACCAGGGAGACATCTAAGAGTTGCAGGACACTGGTCCTCCAGGACCATAATTGGCCACCCCTGCTTTAGCATGTGACTCCTCATCAGTACAAACCAACCAAAGGACCACAAAAGTCTGTTGTAGCAGACTGGATGATCTGCTGGGATTCCTCCACAAAATGCAGCTCTCTTTTAATTAACTTTTTATAAATGTGATTCTTCTTTTAGCTTAATGGACAAACTATCTGATGCTTCCAATCATTCAGGCAACAGAACAGCGGATAAACCTCAAAATGTAACCAGTAAAGTCCTATCTGGTCTACTTTTCATACATGAAAACTGAACCACAAAGAAACTGCACAATATGAATCAGGCATATCCATAATGCATTGCCTGATAACCTCGTGCAAGTCCTGGTTAAGCTTTGTAATGCATCCATGAGGCACTCTCTGTTTCATTTGATCTTCATTCACTGTTAGGACTGACTGTTGAATGATCTGGAAATTGTTACACATCACTCTACTCATGATGCTACCACTTCAACTCACTGGTCCCTATTCTCCAAATTCCAGTAAAGTGAAAATGCAAAGCAATGCAGTTTATGCAAAAGAGTATTATTTTTGTCATAACTTTTGAAATATGTTGGAACCATACCTCTCCAGCCATAAACTGTCCAAATCCAGGTGGAAATGTCAGTGTTGAAATCAAAAAAGTGACCAGCGCTGGATACAGTAGTCGTCTGAAAGGAAAAAAAAAAAAAGAAATTATAAAAATAAATTTTTTCCATATTTGCATTTCATCACTTATTGAAGAGTAAACATACTGTAAATTCAGTAAGCAGCCATGTTGAAAAAAGAAACCCTTGAGGTCATCATCATCATCATCATAGCGGTTAGATATCACACAAATTTAAAATGTTCAATGATTATCAAGAGATGCATGTTTAGCCGTTACTGTTGGCTTCAAATGAACAGCCCAGAATGTGTCAAAGTGAATAAACAGGTAATACAATTTGTGTTTGTTCATGCCTTCACAATTTTCACTGAAATACAAAAAGTTTGGAAAACGTTATATATAAAAACCATTTATTATTGTATCATAATAAAGTACAATAAAAGAGGTTTTCAGGGGTGTGATCTCGAAATGCCACTTTAAAACTATTGTACAAAATGTTTCCCAGTCGCCATTAGCCTGTGACTTCATCTAATGGTAAGTGTAACTTATTGTCATTGTATGAGTCCTGCATACTGTTTCTGTGATGTGTTAATAGTACAAAAGCAAATTAGTTTCCTAATGGGTTGAAGGAGTTGACTTCTCATCAGGCTTGGCTTAAAAGATGCTTAATCAAAGAAAATGTTTGGAACTCTGGGTTGATTTTACTATTTAATCTTTTTTGAACTTCTCAAAATACAGCAGACTGCTGTATACATTCACAGAGCCCACAAACACATTCTAGTGTGTGACTCATATGAAACAATGCAAAAAACCCGAATCTGGGAGCAGGGTGCATGTTTCTCCTGAGACATCTGTCACATTCTTCACATGTACTCACTTCTTCATGAGGAATTTGTTGATGGTCTTTTGTTTTCTGATGAACTGGACAATCAGTCGGTTCAGGTAAACGAACAAAGCACCACCGAATCCACTGGCAATACTGAAGACAGAGAAACAGGGCAGTTAGTCCCGTTTTCCCTAGTGATGAAGCACTCTGCATGATCAAAGTGAAACTAAATGGAATAAATTAGTTCAAGAGTAAACAAAGCAACGCATCAAGTCTTCTGCACCACCTCCATATGTTGCTCTCAGTGCATTTGGCCACAATAAAAACAATAGGAATGTAATGAGGCTCTAATGCACTGGAGGCGGGTGTCAGGAGTAAGTGCAAATGTGATTCAGTGAAGCCACAAAACGAGTACGGGTCAGGGAGGGAGATGATGTGGAGGAGCAGCATTAATGTAAATACAGAAAAGAACGAGAGAAGAATAATAGAAGAAAGACGAAATGGATGAAGAAAATTGCTGGAATTAAAAACAAGAGACTAAAGCTAAGAGTGAGACAGACGGAGCTGAGGAAGTGTGGGGGAGCTGGAAAAAAGCCGAAGGAAAGGTTTATATAAGTACACATTTAAAAGCGCTGTGGGAGACCTCTTTATGGAAGCCAGAAGAGGAGAAAGAAACAGGAAATGAGTGAGAGAGAGAGAGTGTGTGTGTGTGTGTGTGTAATATTTGCTGCATTATTAATTCCTTCAAATATGTTTGAATAAATAATAACCAGTATGATGAGGTAGTCTTTAACCCCCTGATGAGGCATAAAGAAAACAGCAGGTATGCTTCTGGTCTCCTTTTTTCCTCAAAAATAAACAATGATTTTTGTTGGTCTAATTCCAGTTTTGGGCTAAATTTGTGTTAGGCCTCATAAGGTGCTGATCGAGGAGATGTTAAGGAATGGTGGAGTTGGGTAAAGCTTTCCTTAACCTGTTTATTAATTATCTTTATTGAAACAAAATTCCACAGAGATTCCTTCAAAGGCTCAGGAGGAGAACATGAAACACATATCTTACTGGATCAGAGGAAGAGAAAAAGCTGAGGAAGAGCTCATAAGATGCTACATTCACCTCAACCTTTTAAGAACTTCTCAGACTTGCATTTCACTCAATAGGGTCATTGTACACATAAACTACTCAGGACTACATTCAGTTCATTCTCTCTTGGAAACCTCAAAGCTTCTAAAAAACAAAGTCTGTTGGGAACGTGCTCTCCTCTATTAAGTTCAAATAAGAGCTACATTAAAGCTCATCACTGGGTGCATCCATCTCCATGCGAATGTTGTTCTGTGCGGTAATGAGGTCGAGTTTCACCAAGCGAGCTACTTCTGACGCCTGAAGGTGTAACAAACAGCAAGTGGAATAGGAAGCAACTCTTCAAAGACGTGCCCTTGGCAGCATGCAGCGCAGCACAAACCGGTTCTGGCCTAGTTGACTGAAACAATGACCGACTTTCTCTGCTACATGCATCCTAGTGAGGGGAGATGGACGGATAAGCACTCTGTCCCACTCACATGTCGGCACAGAGAGCAACAAAGTGAAACTGAGACTAAGCATTCCAGGGGCCGTGTAGATGTCCAGGCTGGAATGATTATTTAGAGCAAAAAGCATCAGAGGAAGAGTCAAAGCTGAACAATAAGTCATTTTCTTCAGCAGCACATTACAGCTAATTCAAAAATGGCAAACTCTGAAAAACGGATGGAAGGAAGAGGAAAAACGGAGAGCATATCCCTCCCATCTCCACACCAACTTTTCTTTTTTTTTTTCAGGATTTTCTGTATCATTCACAGCCAGGAAAAGCCCTGAAGCTATGACAGAATAAAATAGGACATCCCTCAGAGAACAGGCAGCTGCTGAACAGGGCTGAATTATCCATGTCAGGAGACTTTTACAGGCCACCCTGAGGAAACACCCTCCAAATGTTACAGCAAGTCAAGATTCTGCCATAACAAATGGGATCACCTGTCACCACTTAAGGAAACCTGCATTTTTGTTGATTTGCTACCTTCTGCACCTTTAAGGTTTAAAAATTGATCTTTTGCTGTAAATGACTAGGTACAATTTGTGTTGAACAACAATTTTTTTATCTAGATTGTCAAACTCCATTCCTCAAGGGACGGTATTATACAACTTTTACACACTTTTCTGCTTCATCACACTTGAATCAAACAATTATATGGACCACAGGAAACAACTCTTTAGAACCTGAATGGTAAAACCACCATTTCCTTAACGTCTGCTTAGCAATTATGAGCGACCAAAAAAAATATTTTGGTTATTTTTAACTACTATCCAAGTGCAAAAAACGAGCAGCTACAGGCAATGGGATTTGTGTTTTTTGTTCTTCCAGAATGTGTGATGCTGTCGGTCTGCTTTGCCCTTAAGTCTATCAGTAATCACTGATTGCAAATTGTAGACAACCTAGAGCAGGAGACTGCAACCTTTACAATCAGAAAAGCCATTTTGCCCACAGACCAGCTAAAAAAACACATTTAGAGTTGAAAAGGTTATTTATTTTTGATAAATATCTACTAGGTATTTTCGATTTCTAAGTTTTAACAAAGAAAATCCTTGAACCTTTGCAGAAGGAGAATGGATACAGTTTTCTCCACGGATTGTTGAAATTCATTATTTTCACATAAATATGTGAAAAATATTTTTAAAAAATATATATTTTTGTGAACAAATATTTCACATACTGTTGTGTAAGTTTTTTGTAATTATTTAAAACAATTTTGCAGTTATTAAAAAAACTGTAAAACTCCTAAAACCTACATTTGTTATGCATTTTTAAATGTTAAGAGTCATTGTGGAAGGTTCAAAGAGCCACAGGTTGATGACCTCTGACCTGGGGGAAAACTCACCCAATGACTGCGAAGGCAGGAAGCTCCTGAAGATCAAAGGGAAAATCCAAACGGAAACGGGTTTTGAAAAGTGCCGTGATGGTCTCTGAATAAGCAGAAACATACAAAAAGTTAGAAAATAGAACAAGCCACAACAAAACACACAAAATTGGTAATGTGAGGTCCAAATCGTTGGTTTTAATTGTAGCCGTTCCAGTTTTCTGTGCAGGTACAACTACAGTTCATGCTTTTGTTAACACTTACAATGTGTTTACAGTTAATAGGACAGACAATAGGACCAGTGCTTGGTTCGGCTACGGGAGTAGGGAGAAGTGTAAGTGCATTAATGACCACAGACCAGAAAATAAGTTTAAACTGCCAGCTTATTATTTGTTGAAAAGAAAATAAACATTACAAACAGTTGACATACAATGACACAAATTTCAGTACAAAATAGTTTTCCTGTTTCTTTCAGAATAATTTATTTAATCCCCGTTTTGAAATTTAAACCTACCGTTGGGTATGAAAGGATGCTATTTATTCAAACCTAGGTTAAAGCTCTATTTAAGTTCAAGGTGATACTGTTAATCTATTTTAATTTACAATTTATTTTAATATTTTTAAATCTATTTTAGATTAGTGTTCTTTTTAAAAAGTTATGGCTTATTAATTTCCTGTTTTAACCATTTCTTGTTTCTATTTTAAACCCAACAAACAATTTCATACATACTGTAACAATGACGAAGCTGAAGTTGGTTTCCAATTCCAGCTTCCAATAGCTAAAGGGCGATTCCACTTAATTTTTCACTACCTCCCGCATTTTTAATCAACTCCCATTATTATCGATTTAAAATTCTGTAGCAATGTGAGAAAAAAGTTAATTTAAAAGTCTGAATGTCTAAAAAGGTACTAACCAGTGGTGCAAAAAATAAAAAAAATCAAAATTCAAATGCAGTGTCATGCTAGACTGCACCTAACCCCTTTAAATGTAGTCAAATATATTTATATACAATAAAAGAATAAAATATAGTGGTTTACATTTCCGTGCACTTGAAAATGTTTCATCATATGTCATGTTGCTGAAATATAATATGTTTGTTGTAATTAAGTTCTTGATGTAGCTGAACCTTAAAGGACCTGAACATGTGTTTCCAAACTAATAAATAATAGATAAAATATACTTAACATAAAATTGTGGAGACGTAAACTTCAGTAACATCATATTTAGGTTAAACTTCTTCCAATATTTTACATGTGCACTAATTTTTAATAGTCGGACAAACATTCCTTAAGCAACTTAACTTTTTTTTTTTTTTAAGTTTTAGCAGATGGTGTTTTGCTTTGATTAGAGAAGATGTGTGGGGCAATTATGTACAGCATTAAACTGCTTAGATGTTTAGGTGGTTGGTTAACGGCCTGATATAAATGGAGCTCAATGACATTACCTTCGTCTCTGTTCCAGACAGCCAGCACTCTGAAGATGAAGGCACTGAAGGTAGCTGCAAAGAACCCTCTCCAGTAGTTCCTCACAGCAAAGAATGTGGATGTTACTTCAATACTGAACAACACACCTGCAACACAAGGCAGAGCAATAAATTGTGACATATTTTTCCTACAGACATTAAGGGAATAGAAGAGAGTTGTTTAAACATCCCAATTTGGTGTGTGGTGTGAAAACTGCTTCTTTGAGCAAGTCAACCCAGATCTCATATGTTAGATCAGGTAGCTCAATGTGTTTTGAAGTAGGGCTGTTGTAAACGAATATTTTAGTAGTCGAGTAATCGGATAAAAAAAAATTGATAAAATAAAATATTGGTAAATCTAGCATAACACCAGTGTTACTATTGGATATCAACATCAGTCCAATTTTTCATATTTGAGCTTCCCTAACAGTTACTTTTTTGTAGTTTAAAAAATTAACCTGTAAAAATAATAGCTCACTTTCTAAGTTAATCTGAAGAAAATGTATTCAAAAATCTGAAATTCTATTCAATTTAATAATAAAGAGGCAGGCTCACAAATACCCTTATAAAAAATGTCTATACTCCAGCTTTTAGTTTATGTATTCATCTTCGAACGAACGAATGTAAGAGGTAGGAAATAGGCCAGGAAACAGACGGTAGGTCCGGAGAAGACGGATAAACGAACGAACGTAATGTGGAGGGGGGAGGGAGATACCACCGGTAGACCAGGGTAGGAACGTAAGACCCAGTTAGAGAGCAATACGGGATATTTACAGAAAAATGGTTTTAAAAAATTGCGGGAAAGGGGGGTAAAAAACGGTCGTTTCCCTGCCAAAACGGGAGGCTTGGCAGGTGTGCCTTGCCCAGCTTTTGTGTTTATGTTAGCAACGGGATTTGACACCTTCGTTCGTCACACTCAGATGATTTCCGCCATGATGATTTCCGCCTCCCGTTTGTTGAGACCGGGGTTATATGAAATGTATTGTGAGGTTCGTCCTTAAAGCTACATTTACACGGTAAGCATCAACTACTCAGCCGCACGCCGTGTCCGCTCACCTGAATAAATACTCCTCAGCGCTCTTCCCGCTGTTCGGTTTGAACCAGCAGCTCCCGGAGGAGAAAGGCTGCCATACTCCAGGCATCGCTTCAGTCATTTTAAGGATGTCTATTGGTCCCCCGAAAACAACGAAAACCTGGGCATCATCATCAATCAATGAAACCTCCACGGCCGAACTTGAAAAATGGACGTTAAGATGATAACACTTAGCTTTCGTCAACAACTCAGAGGCGGAAGTGAGAGCTCCGCGCGACGCAATTAATGTTCCGGCCGGAACACCGTGCGCTAAATAATAAAACATAAATTAACGAAGCTTCGAGGCAGATCAATTTTCCTCGAGGAATTTTAATAATCGAGGTTCTCGAATCATTCGAGGAATCGTTTCAGCCCCATTTTGAATAGTTTTAGATAAAAGATTTAGGTCAAATATTTCACAGTGATTTTAACTTTGATACAAAAGTTGGTTCAATAGTAAGAACAAACAAAGTAAAACTTTGAAATTAAGTAGCTATATCTTGTAAAAGCTTTGAAAAACTGATCTGCTCTTTAAATACATTTCATCAAGTCTATTTTAATTCCTTTACTGTAATTGGAATGATGGCCAACAGTTGTTTTTAAAATGACTTTGAATTAGATTAGTCCAATTAATTCTAATCAAACTTACAGTAAGCAAAACAATTAATTTGTTCTGCAAACTCACCTCCTATGGGGGCAGCAAAGCAGCAGCCCACTCCCACTGCACAGGCTGCCGCAAGCATCTCGATGTTCCTCGACTCATTCTGAAACACAGGTACAGAACGATAAATTTATTTATTTTTTTTTTTAAAACCTAATGAAATGGGAGATGAGTTGTAAATTTAGATAAATATACAATCGACTACAAGTAAAGTTAGTATTTACAAGCATTTAAGGATTATTTTTCTTTAATTTTAGCAAGTCACTGAATTTGTTGACAGGTCACCATTACAGTTAATTACAAACCAATTGCATATCTACAGAAAGGACCAGAAACAGGAGCGTTAAATTGCATCAATTAAAAAAAAAAGTCTTGAGAAGCCTGGCAAAGCCCTGACGGGACCAACAAGACAAAACAGTTCATGTAATATCAGACACATGTAATTCAGTACTTTTCCTGTAAAGCCTAATAAGCCAGATGAGTGAAGAACAAAAAACAAAGACAATTCCACCTTTCTGCAGGAGAAAGTGGATCAAGGAGCATTCTGAGAAATTTAGTTTTTTTTTTTCCTTTCTTTGACCTTTTAAATTTACCTACCTTGGTTCCCAGGAGACTGAAGTCCTTCAAGCAGCATTGTAATGTGAAAGAGAGGTTAGAGGCACTTGTATTTCTCACTGTACTGAGGCTTATCCTGCTTTTGCATGTGGTGCTACTTCTGACACACACACACGCGCGGGCACACACCAGCACACACATCTCACATCAGAAAGCAACTAAAGCTTACTCTGACCCAAATATTGATGAATTCAAATATTTTATCTGAGAGAGAAACTCAACTAAAGTGGATGCTGATAAAATAAAACTTCTTTTTATTTTACTGAATATTAGAGAATTATATGGACTGTTTTGTGCCAAAAAAGACCAAAATTTCTTATGGTGTCCGATAGGTGACCTTTGGTCCCAGCAGTATTGGATAAAACTTGTAAAACTCTTATCATTTTGATAGGAC